TGATTGAGCTGAGTGGTGTCTGATCCATGATTCCTGAACTGATCCCCGAGTTGTTTCTTTGGTAAGGGAGGCATTATGATATTACAACACCTCTGTATTGAAGACGCAAATGAGGTCGAAGTCGCAAGATCAAGTTTTCCTCTACCTGATAACTTCCTGGAGAAATTTCGAGCAAGAAACGAAGTGATTAGGAGTTCTAGTGCGAGTGTATGTGTCTATTATTAAAATCATTCAAAAATACATACAGCAGTAGAATTGCTTCAAATAAAGGATAAAGGATAAAGCATTTGCCGTTGATCAATCCCTTTTGGGATGCGGCACGCATTCTACTTCCATTTGTACATTCGTAGTGGCGTTTGAATGCGATGTGGCCTATACAATGACTTGCGGGGGCCAGCCGATGTACAAGTCAGTGTTTTTATCCTCCCAGACAAGTCTGGTACCAATTAACCGACCCCGGAGGGATGGAAGGCTTGGTTGGCCCGGGCGACTCGCCAGGGTCAACCCTATCGTTGGTACTTTTTGGAAATTTTTTACGACCCCCCCTTCATGGGCGAATTGATACGACCCCCCCCTTGTGTGTACGGTAGGAGAGTGAGAGCAACTACGTCCAAGCTCCGCCAAAGGCTGGTTTGCTTACCTCAGGACTAAGCCTTGAAGAGAGGACGGATCTCTCAGGTCCGTCCTCTCTTGGAGGCTCCAAGGCTTGGTTCTGAGGTAAGCATCAAGATGAGACGGGCCGATGGAACTTGGGCGCTCATCCGATGAGGAGGGGGGGCTATGTGATGCAAGTTCAAGTGGAAATGAAAAGAAATGGAAACGCGCATTGATCGCGTTTGAAATGTGGTGGATCGCGCCCTGGGAACGGTCGTGGCAATGGGGCGCGTTTGCTGATCGATTATTGGTGACGAATGGGATATTGAAATGTAAACAAATTTTTTCTTCTTAAATTTTCAGGTTCCTCGGAAGACGGGGGTGGATTTGGATCACCGAGGCTATCCTTCTTATGTAGAGCGGATTTGTTCTAAAACATTCTGAAATGAATAAGTTATTGATCAAGAAATGAATTGCACTACAATTTTTACCTTCCTCTTTCTAGGGCTATAACTTTCTTCATATTCGAGCTTTTGCGCCGAAGTGATTTGATTTGAAAAATTCAAATTATTCTCTCTCCAACATGTCTAAAAAATTCTTCGAAAGTTAATTTAATAAAAATTTAGTACGTTGTTACTTTTTTCTGTGCAAAGCGACTTTTCAACCTTCAAACGATCATAACTTCTCTTCAAAGTCATCATTTGGGAAGCTGAACACGGTATGAGAAACTAGAGGATTCAAGCTTTCTAACAAGCACCCCAACATTCCTGGAAATTTAGGACTTCGAAAATTAGTCCCGTTGGGACTTTCTTTTGAAGGGGCATTCTTCAAGTCATTTTCTTAAGAACGTGGGTTTTTCTAGGTTTCACAGGCCGCAACCTCCAGGGAAAACAATATCGTTTTGACCACAGGATGTGTAAGAATTTGGGAAAATCTTGCGAGCACTGACCCACAGTCGAACGAGCACGTGTTGCAGTGGCATACCCTGCTTCGGTGTGCGCCATGTCTCGGCCGCGCTTCTGATTCGCTGATTCGATTGAAAGGTCATTTAGAAGGAACCGGATTACAGATGCTCTACTATCAATTTTCTTGCGTAAACAAAGTGGTGGACCATGGTTTCTTAGGCAGTACTCCAGCTAAAAATTAGTTTCATATATGCGAGATAGTACGACCCCCCCCCAACCTAAACCAAGTACGACCCCCCCCCGTTGGTACTTGTACCAACGTAGGGTTGACCCTGCTCACGCCCCAGGATTTGATCCCTGGACCGCTCGCGTGGTGAGCGTGCCACTTGCCACTAACCACGTAATTCCGCCATGGCCTTCAGAAACGAACTGATTAGGAGTTCTAGTGCGAATGTATGTTTGTTATTAAAATGATTCAAAAATACATACAGCAATAGAATTGCTTCAAATAGCGATGATAATTCCACCAACGAATTTGACAAAAGTCCGCTTTCTAAAATGTTTGTGAAAAATTCTCAGTGCAGAAATTATGCCGAACATCGGGTTGAGGAAAAGGTCACAAAGAATTTTTATTCTCTTTTAGATTTTCTTGAAGGATCAGTAGGAAGGGTGCCGTAGTAGAGAATGCTGGAACGTTACCGAAGCTTCACTTCGGCGATATATTAGGTTGGAAAGAAAGTTCTGCAACACTCTTTCTAAATTTTCTTTTTTTTCTGAAAAATTCATAGGTAACATTTATGACTAACAAATGGTAGAGCATTCTCGAGGCTTTAATCCACGAGGTGGATATAAGTGCTGCAGTCAGTAGTTATCCAAGAAAATTCAAAAAACCTCGACCACTAGTAAATCCATACTCCGAGTCACTGTCTAGTACAAATGTCTCCATAACTATGGATTCGTGTCAAAGACCAACACTATCTGCAATAGCTTCAATAGGCATGCCGTTCACCGCTACAGCGTGT